CGCGGACTCGCATTCCGGCGGCCCTGCATGGGTGTTGCTACAACTGTGGAGATGACCGGCACATATCGAGGGACTGCACCAACGAGACTCTGTGTGTGAGATGTGGAGGTTCCGGGCACATTGTCCGGGACTGTGAGATGCGGCGAAGCTCGTCGCCGGAGGAGGGCCAGATGAGGCCGCGGCATGTGCCCCGGCTGCTTCAGCGCCAAGCGTCGGGGCCTGTCGGCATGCCTTCTGCCCCTCCTGTTCGGCAGGTGGAGCCTGCGACGTCCCCGGAGCCGATGGTGCTCCCGCCGCCTCCGCTGAGGCCGCTGCCCCTCGGCGCGCGCAGGGTGGAGCACCCGTGGAGCCAGGTGGTCAGGGATGGGGCGGTCGGGTGTTCGGGTGGTCCGGGCTTCTCGGTGCCCTTCGAGCTGGTGGAGGCGACCAGGACGGCCGTCGTCGCGCAGCAGTCTGCCTCCCAGGAGGTGGGCTGCTGCTACATGGAGGAGGCAGAGGATCTCTGGCAGATGGAGGCGGAGCTGTCCAAAGCTGTGGTGGTCACGATCACGGGCACCAGGCCGGAGGTCGACCTGGCATCGGTGGCGGCGGCATTGCATGAGGAGTTCTGCGTCGGGCCGATGGACATGTCAATTCGTGCGTTCTTTCCGGAGGATTTCTTGGTGCTGTGCCGGGAGCAGAGCACGCATGACAGGATGGTGAGGCAGGGCGGCTTGTTGCCGGCCTCTTCGGCTGGCTTCACGTTGTCGTTGCGGCCTTGGCTGAGACAGGCGCAGGCTACCGGAGCGGCACTGACGTTCCTGGTGCCGGTGGCGTTGGTGGGTGTGCCGGCGCATGCGTGGATGAGGAGGACGGCCAACGCGGTTCTCCATGGCCTGGGGATTGTGGTTGGGGTTGTGGACAGCACGGCGAGGAGAAACGACATGTCCAGCTACAAGGAGTGGCTTCGGACTGACCGGCCAGATCGCATTCCGGAGCAAAGGCGACTATTTGTGGAGGAACCGCGCCAGCGCCGAGGCAGAATATGGCCACGGGCGGCGCGGTCGGCTGCGTTATGGTACAACATTCGCATAGTCAGGTTGGCAGAGCCGGTGGTCGATGAGGACGACGATCCTGAGCTGTCGCCGCCGCCTAGCCTGCCTGCGCCGCCTTCCGGTGAGGAGGAGGGCTTTGGTGGGGATGATGGTCGCGGTGATGGTAGAGCGTAAGGTGGACGGAGGGCAGATCTTGAGGCGCCAAACTCGCCGTCGCCGGGATGCTCCTCGGCAAGGTCAGCACCGGCGGCCGGTCACGGGCGAGTTCAAAATAAAGTGGCTGTGGAAAGCGAGCATGACGCACGTAGGCGGCAGGGTGGCCCTACGGTACAGTTTGACGGGGCTTTGACTGTGAGATCGATTGTGCAAACGGCTCGGGGACAGCTGTCTCTGGGCGCGGTGGTCAGCGGGGTGGATGGTTCTGGAGTGGCCCCTTTCGTGTCGTCTTGTGCCTCGGGAGAAGCGGTGAGGGGAAGAGAGGAGGCAAATCCCGTGCTGGGATTGTCGCCACCTTCGGTTGCGTTGTCTCGCTGGCGCAGGGCAGGCCAGCTGGAGGCGACGGGATTGGAGCTCGAGGATTCGGTGCAGGCGGTGCAGGCTGGGAGGATTATCTTGGTTGGCTCGATGGAGATGTCGATGGGGCCGGGGCCAGAGCTGGAGCTGGGGGTGGACCGGTCTGTAGCAGATCCTGGCAGGATGGTGGACACCCAATTGGACAGCGACTCCTGTAGGCTGATTGGGACGGACGTTTTTGGCGGGGCCTGCGTGTCGGGGGATGGGCCAGGATCCATGCAACCGTGCATGGCGGAACACGTGGACTGTGGGACGTCGTGGTTTTCATGCACGTTGGATTGTATGGCGCTTCGGCTGCCCTCGCTGGGTGTGGGATCCGAAAGGCAGGTGGGTCTCACGGAGGCATGGGAGATGTTCAAAGTAAGCTTGTCGGGGTGTGATGAGCCACCATTAGGTAGTGTCACCCCGTGCACGCCTAGGCCGGCCGAACCTGCGTTGGCGGAAGTTGAGCAGCTCTGCGAGGACATGTGAAGAGCGATCGATCCTATCTTGGCCAGGCCGGACGCGCGCACGCATGGGGTCCAAGCCCGTAGACCCAGAAAAAAGCGGATTATGGGGGTTACGCCGCGGAGAAGTGAGAGGATTGCGAAGCACGGGGCCAGCAAGCAACAGCAGGTGCTTATCCGCAAGTTGTGTTTGGCTCACGAGGGAGAGGTCATCTCGGAGGAGGCACTCAGGATGTACGTCGAGCTTTTCAACCGACCACTCTCAGAGGCTCACATTGCAGCTGTTTTGGCGCTCTTCGGATGGGAATCTCCGCTGGCACCGTTGTTTGAAACGATCCGGGCCGGTGCCGACATGGTCTAGTGGTGGAGCCGGTGGGCACGGTAGGATGTGACTATGAATGCACAACATTTGAGAGTGCTTGTGTGGAATGTGCGTGGGCTAAATGCCCCGGCACGTAGAGATGCGGTGAGGCAGGTGGTGCTCGGGGCGAACCCGGGCATCGTTTGTTTTTAGGAGACCAAGTTGCAAGTAGTATCATTAGCGGTTGTACAACGTTGTCTCGACAATAAATTTAACAACTTTTATTACGTCCATGTGGATGGTATGCGAGGTGGGATTCTGGTGGCTTGGGACGAGACGATCGTCAAGTTGTCCAACCCACACTACCAGAGCAACTCTTTAACGGCAATTGTGAAATCTGCCGGTGCGCCGGAGTGGTGGCTTACGTGTGTGTATGGTCCGCAAGAGGATAGGGACAAGGTGGAATTTCTGCAAGAACTCGTGGACATTCGAGAGTTGCATGCGGGCCCGTGGCTAGTGGTGGGTGACTTTAACCTAATTGCACAGCAAGAGCATAAGAGTAATGACTTGATCAATAGGAGGATGCTGGGCAGATTTCGGGCCAAGATGAATAGGCTAGAGTTAAAGGAGATGTACTTGAATGGCTGACGTTACACATGGTCCAATGACAGGCAACTTGCTACGCTGGAAAAGATCGACCATGTTTTCGTCACGAATGAGTGGCGGGATCAGGCATTCCCGACGTGCTTCCTGTCAGCGCTCGGCACTGCAATTTCGGATCATTGCCCGTTGATGTTGGACATGAATGTGGAGATTAAGACGCACAAACGCTTCCGGTTCGAAGCCTTTTGGACGAAGGCGGCAGGTTTTATGGAGAAGGTGCAGACGGCGTGGGATTCCACCCCTCCAGCCTCGAACGACTACCTCAGGTTGCACTGTAAGCTAAGGGCTATGGCAAAGGCGTTGCAGAAATGGAGCGACCGGTGGTTTGGGAATGTAAATGCTTTGGAGGTGATTACGCGGCTGGATATCGCAATGGAGGCTTGGGTGTTATCAGACGAGGAAAGAGAGCTACGGAAGTGCTTAAAGCACAAGCTGCTTGGGTTATGCTCGTTGGAACGATCAATAGCGAGGCAGAGATCGTGGCTGCTACAATTGCGCGAGGGAGATGGGAATACTAGACTGTTTCATCAACAGGCGAGTCACAGGCAGTGGAAGAACATGTTGCGTTCGGTCAGGTACAATGGGCAAATTTACTCGGGGAAATATGAGGTGGCCTCAGCGGTGGATGCATACTATGGCCGTGCTTTTGGATGGTGTGAGGCGAGACAACACACGCTGAACCTGGAGGGGCTCAATCTGCCACGGAGAGACTTGTCGCGACTAGAGGAGTTGTTCTCACCTGAGGAAGTGGAGAAGGTCATCAAGGAGGTGCCAATGGACAAAGCGCCCGGGCCTGATGGCTTCACAGGAAGGTTCTATGCTGCATGCTGGCATATTATTAAGGTGGATTTCATGAGGGCTATGGGTTGCATGTATCGGGAGGACATGCGGGGCATGGTGGCAATAAACAGATCGCTTGTGCCCCTACTGCTAAAGAAGGAAGGTGCGTTGGATGTAGGCGATTTTCGTCCCATAAACCTGGTGCATGGGGTAATCAAGATTTTCGAAAAGGTCCTCTCGACAAGGCTAGTTGTGGAGCTCCCTAACCTGGTGGGGAACCATCAAAGTGCGTTTGTGGAAGGAAGGTCCTTGCATGACAATTTCATGCTAGTGCAAATTACGGCGAGACATCTGCGCGCCTTGAGGAACCCGGCGGTGCTGCTCAAGCTTGATATTTCGAAGGTGTTCGATTCGGTTCAATGGCCTTTTTTGTTGGAAGTCCTGCAGCAGTTCGGGTTTGGGCACAAATGGAGAGCGTGGATTTGTGGGATCCTTGCCACATCAACTACTAAGGTGATGGTCAATGGAGAGCCCAGTGAAACAATTTTCAACTGCAAAGGTATGCGTCAAGGAGACTCGCTGCCACCCATGTTGTTCATTCTCATGATGGAGCCGCTGCAGCGTATGTTTGAGGTTGCGGTGCGGAAGCAAGTGTTGGAGCCGCTGGCTCGGTCGGGTGTGAGGCAAAGAATGTCAATATATGCAGATGACGTGGTGCTTTTCATGAGGCCGAGGCTTGTGGAGTTGGCAGCCTATAGAGCAATCTTTGGTATGTTTGGCGAAGCCTCAGGTTTACGCATCAACATGGGCAAATCAGTTGCTTTGCCGATCAGATGCGATGAGAGAATCATAGCATGGGTAAGCCAAGAATTGGGATGTCGGGTGGCGTCGTTTCCGATCAAGTACTTCGGACTACCACTCTCGCTAAGGAAGCCATCGGCAGGACAGCTACAATACTTGGTGGACAACTTGGCAAACCTTTTACCAAAGTGGAGGGCAGCGCTAATGCCAAAGAGCGGGAGGTTGACACTTGTTCAGTCGGTATTGTCTGCTATGCCAATAAATGCGATGATGGCGTTGGACCTACCAACGAAGACAATTGCGGCAATGAACAAAGTGTGTAGGGGCTTCTTATGGTGCAAGAGGGCCGAGGCAAATGGAGGTAACTGTGCGGTAGCCTGGGAGGCAGTGTGTGCTCTGAAATGGGCAGGAGGACTAGGCATTCCTAACCTACAATGGCTGAATGTGGCCATGCAAGCAAGGTGTCCATGGTTGAAACGAGTCGATGCTTCCAGACCGTGGAGTGAATTCTCTATCAAAGTGCCAAAAGAGTCTATGCAGCTCTTCTGGGCGGCAACTAGAGCCGATGCTAGAGACGGAAGGACAACCCTGTTTTGGGAAGACAGGTGGTTAGATGGCATGAGGGTGCAGGAGGTGGCACCGGACTTGTATAACAGGATCCCGGCAAAGATCAGATGAGGGGCCATGGTTGGTCAGGTTGTAGTAAGTGGCGAATGGGCACAGGCAGTTGGACCGGACCTTGATGAGAATATGCTGCGGCAGTTCTTAGAGTTGTGGAGTAGGGTGGCCGCATGGGTGCCCACTGAGGGGGAGCACGATGAGGTGCACTGGTCTTGGGAGGCGCATGGACAATTCACCGTGAGATCGGCATATGCAAGCAGATTCTGGGGACGTGAGGAGGTCCCAACTTCGAAGTTGACGTGGAAATCAAGGGCACCGTTGGAATGCCTCTTCTTTGCGTGGTTGGCACTAAAAAATCAGTGTTGGACCTCGGACGGGCTAGCCAGGAGGGGTCTACTGCACCAAGACGCTTGCCCTTTTTGTGATCAAGAAGAGGAAACTATAAACCACATTTTGCTCACGTGCGTGTTCACCAAGACGGCATGGATGGTAGTTGGAGAGGCACTTGGCAGGGAGGACTGGCTGCCGAATCAGGAGGACACACTTGCGGACTAGCTATGCGCTAGATGTGTGGGAAATGCTACGTGCAATAAGGACTTGCGTGCGGTGCTGCTACTGGTCATGTGGGAGTTGTGGAAGCATCGTAACGCCATTGTTTTCGATGGTGATGCCCCGTCGATTGAGAGACTAATCAACAAGGTGAAGACGGAGGCCAAGGTGTGGGCTACGGCCGGGCTAATCAAGACGGATTTGGAAGGCTTCTTAGGTAGATTGCATAGGTGGGCTACGAGGGAGGAGTAGGTTAGTGGTGTGGTGGGTGGAGTGGGTGCGAGCTAAAAGCCGCACAGACATGTAAATGTAACTTGTAGCGGAGGCCTTCTTTGTCTTTTCTTCTTTAATGTATGATATGCACACTCGTGCATATTCGAGAGAGAAAAATGATTCCATGAAAAACACATATGCACGTGTGAAATGATAAACGGTAAAATGATCAATTGCTATTAAATTCATGAAGTATACCATGGCAAACTTTTAGTTGTGTCATGGCAATTTTGTCCCTGTTTTTACTTTATGTTGGTTGAATGTAAGGAAAATGCAAGTAAATTTGTGTATTCAAAGATGGCAAAGTTAAGACCATTTGACATGGCATTGCTCAGAATTTTTCTATACATGCCCAGTGGCAATTTTTGTACTAGTCTTTTTTGTTCTATCTTATATGGCCATTTGTTGTGTTTAATTTTTCATAATATCATGGCAAAATTTTCACACTCAATTGTCATTAAGTATGCATGAACATCATGGCAAATCATAAAAATTTATGTAATATACATGTTTTTCATGATTATATGGTAGTTTTGTTTATTGAAGCATGGCAACTTTTTGTTCCTGGATATTTTTCAGGTAGTGTTTTTCTTGGTCCAGTGCATTTTTAGGCCTTTTTTGGGATAGGAGCAGTTTTGGGCCTTCAATATTTTAGTTCTTTGTTTTTTAATTCTTGTAGGCAATGACATTTATGGGCTTGTCCCATTTTTGGGCTGGTCCGTTGGAGGGGAGGGCCAGTTCGTTCTGCTAGCTACAGTTTGTGTGACATTTCAAAAAAGAAAAAGGCTACAGTTTGTGTGACATGGGATCGGGCTGGAGGGGTACTTCTACCGAACGAGTTTGTTCGTAGATTCGTTCGGGGTGGGATGTCCCCATACCGAAAGTTCCTACAATATTGGGGTCTTAGAGCATCTTCAACAGGCGTCGAACGCGTCGTGCGTAAAAAACTGGTTTGCCGCGTGCCCATCGTCTGGTTTGGCGCGGCGCGCAGCGCTGGCTCCAACAGCCGCGTTAAAATGTAGCACGCGCCGCTCCAGCAGCGCGCAAAAATGTAGCGTGCGCGACTCTCACACAAACAACATATGCATTACAAAACAGAAGCAAAAAGATCAAACACAAACAAAAATAAATCAAAATAAATAGTTCAATTTCATTATTACAACTCAAACAAACAGTTTATCATTCAATACAACAAATAGTGCAATAAACACAACAAATAGTTCAACAATACAATATCAAACGCACAAATCATGATGCTCTTTGTCGTCCATTTCATGTCCACCACTCCTCAATGAGATCCTTCTAAAGATCATTATGCGTTGCGGGACGTCGAATGGCATGATAGGAGGCAACAAAACGAGCCACCCTTTCAGCCCTCCGTCGCACTCGCACCGGATGTCCCAAAAGCTCATACTGAGAGTAGTCTACATCTTGGCCACGCTCATTCTCGATGATCATGTTATGCGTGATCACACAAGCGTGCATGATGTACCAAAGCATTTTCTGATCCCAAAATCTAGCCGGTCCTCTCACAATAGCAAATTGGGCTTGCAAAATCCCAAAAGCTCTCTCCACATCTTTTCTAGCCGCCGCCTGAGCATTGTGGAAATCAAGTTCTTTCTTACCTTCTGGCTTTTTCAACGTCTTGACAAAGGTTTGCCACTTTGGATAGATGCCATCCGCTAGGCGTTTTGTCGAACACCTAGCGGGCGCCGAGCGGCAGCGAGCGCGCGGGCGTTGTTCGTCGGCGGACCAGCACGCGCGCGGGGCGGCGGGCCTAGAGGGGAGGCGGAGAAGGCGCGCGCGGGGCGGGAATATGCCGGGGAAGCGCCGGAACGGTCGCCGAGTGGCGCGGTCGGCGGCGGCGGCGCGGCTGGAGGGGGGGTGGAAGGTACGAGCGAGCGCGCAAGAGTCCAGCGCGCGGGAGCGGGAGCAGCAAATAAGCGGCGCGCGATTGCGTTTTGGCCCGCGCGCTGGACTACGTATGCCGCGCGCGCGGTTTTCGCGCGCCCGCTGGAGCAGCTCTTCCGGTTACGCGCGCGCTAAAAAGGGATTTTGCGGCGCGGCGCTAGTTTGGCGCGCCTGTTGGAGATGCTTTTATTTTTGTTTCAAGAATATTGTTTTTTAGAGAAAGCAGTAACTGAGTTAGAGGAGAAGACGAAGTACTTACCCGGGACAGTTGGGCAGTGCCAAGGAGGTTGTATCCGATTCGAGTAGGCTCGTTTGTTATAATGTAAGTTAATTTGACTACGGAAAGGACGTGGCCGGCGGTGTATAACGCGTCCTCATAGTTGTATATAAATCAAACACGTCTGAAAGGATCGATACTAAAATCGATCGTACCTTCCTTTAATAGTCGTATATACATATACATATAGTGCGTGTAGCTACGGTGTTCCTCCCTTTCCTTGAAGCTAGCAATTACTCCGGCTGGCTGCTGGGTGCCCGACCGACGACCCTAATAGCTATGTTTAGCTCTTCCGGGCGCGTCCACAAGACGCCGGTAAACACAGCGTCGACCATTGTCGCCGAAGGTGTGTCCGGATCACATGTCCTCACAGTTCAGGGATACTCCCATACCCTTGGACTCGGCGTCTGCAGGTCTATTCCGTCGGGCATATTCAGCGTCGGGGGACATACTTGGAAAATCCTCTACTACCCCGACGGCGTCAACAGAGAATTTGCTGATTGGATATCTTTTTCTCTACTTCTTCATGCCGCGGATGATGACGACGCTGATGATGCTGGTAGCAGTACGCTAGGTATCAAAGTAAGATGCAGGTTTAGCCTGCTCGACCAGGTGGGCGTGCCGGTGCTAAATCACACGTCGCCATACAGGACTACCACATGTTATGCACAGGGCCACGGAATTACATCTCATGGATTCATCAAAAGGGAGGAACTGGAGAACTCGCCGTATCTTAAAGCTGATTGTTTCAACATCAAGTGTGATGTCAGCGTCACCACGGGGATCCGTACGCAGCCCAAATCACAACAATTTATCACTGTGCCGCCTTCTGACATGCCTCATCAACTTGGCCGTGTCTTGGAGACCGGTGAGATTGCGGACGTGACATTTGAGGTCCGTGGTGAGACATTTGTTGCGCATAGGCGTTTGCTCGCGGTTCGGTCCTCGGTGTTCATGGTGCAACTCTTCGGTCCAATGAAGGAGGATGAGGCAACGTGTATACGGATCGATGACATGGAAGCTAGAGTGTTCAAGATGATGCTACACTTTATCTACACCGACACGCTCCCTAATATAGATGCCGGTGAAAACACGGAGATGGCTCAACATTTGTTTGTGGCGGCAGACAGATATAATCTAGAGAGGCTAAAGTTGATTTGCGTGAATATGTTATGCAACCACATGAACGCAAGTATGGTGGCAACGACATTGGCACTTGCTGAGCAACATGATTGTGACAAGCTCAAGAAGGCATGGTACAAGTTCCTCACTCATTTTCAAAATTTGAAGGCGGTAATAGTGAGCGACGGCTTTAAGCATCTCAAGAGCATTCGCCCCAATATTCTAGAGGAGATACTAGATCGTCAGGCGGCTGATGCTCCTTGATCTTGATCCCTTTGTGTGTTTTCCTTAGATTAGCTAGGAAGAGATCGTGATTTTTATTTTATTTTAAAGGAGGGTAATCCTTGGCTTGTGCATCACTGCGTTTAACACAGCCATAGAAAGAGATTGTGATGATGTAATTAATTACTATATAGATAGACTGAGTTAGCCATCCGTATTTTGTCCAAGAGGTGTGATCATGTGTCTGCCTTTCCGTTTTCTTATAGGCTTTATTTGTGTACATTTTTTGGCTAAAAAGTTTTGCAGTTGCTCCATTTGAGTCAATAAAATTCATCCTTTGTCGAAAAGAAAGTTCTGCAGTTTTCATATTTGTAGTATATAGCAATCCAAATCTGAAGTGTTTGCATATTTTATGGACCCAAGAACAAATTCACAATTATATTAAGAGGATTTGTGTTATATTGCCGTTCTATTGCAATGAAGTTTTGTCACTACTGTCGAACTTTATTTTTGTGCAGCTTTAATGCCTGTCGTATGCTTATTTGATGGAAAAAGATTAGCATCAACCGACTGATCGAGGCGCTGCATCTGCTGCTTGATGCGCCGTTGGATCAGTTAAAATAACCGACCTCATCTTCCTGTCAACCTTATCTTTTCCAGTGTCTTCTAGCCCCGGGATGGCCTCGCGGCTCACACGGGCACCGGTGGCCGGAGTGCCGAGGACGAGATGATAGCTGTGTCTCTTGCAACACGTGTGCACGATGAGCCAGAGGCGACCCCTATGTTGCCCATCGAGTGCGCAAGAGGAATTGCCCGCCTAGGTCGTCGTTGACAAGGGCATCCATGTTGGATCGCCGCAGCCAAATGCCTCCTCACCGACTGGATCGACGGATCCGGCGAGATCCGCCATGCTGGCGTCAAGCACCATCAACCTCGCCGCTGTCTTGAGATAAGTTTCTGCAACAACCGCATTGTTGCGGAACGGCGGGGAACGACGACTATGCAAGTGCGGAACGCGCTCAGAGATGTTGCAATTTTTTGAAACATGAGTGGTGTTGTAGAAAATTAGCCGCGGCGGTAGATGTTGTTCCAATTTTTGCAACAAGGGTTTTGTTGCAGAAAATTAGGGAAGAAAGGTTTTGCAACATGGGTCTTGTTGAAACTAGAAAAGAAAAGTTTTTGCAACAAGCGTCTTGTTACAGAAAATTGTAGAAGTGAAGATTTTGCAACAAGAGTCTTGTTGCAGAATTACAAGGTTCATCGAATGGATGGCTCACAAGGCGGTGGATTTTGCGCCGAAGGACTAGTTCCCCCGCGCACCGCCGGTAGGGCTTTTGCGATAGTGGGAGCTAGCGCTGCACTAGACGGCTGACAGGGGAATTTGTTTCCGAAACTGAGTGGTTGTTGCAAAAAGTAAGGAGGTGGTCATGCGGGCGCGGTGGTTAGATCCGACGGCTGGAAGGGCGCTGATCCAACGAAGCTCCATGTGGCGGATGTTTCTAATACATCCACCAACCGCAGCGTAGCGGCTCCCAAACTACATACAAGAATCTTTACATAATCTTTACCTAATAATAAAGCAAATTGGGTTTCTTTCGTGATGGCATTTTGCAGAAAAGTCCCTCTATTTCAAGGAATTCAACCCGCAGTCCTGTTTTTAGTTAAAACGAATCATTATTTTCGTATTTTACACAAAAGTCCCTGCCTTTTCTTGAAATCAACCCGC